CCGGTGTTTAGGTTTGTTTTGCTTCCTTTCTAGAGAGGTAGTTGTCAGCCCCTTCCACCTCAGTTAGTAAGCGCACTTACTACATTCCCCCGTGGGATCTTTCTGCACCGTGACCATTTATACACTAGCGCATAACGGGACTGGTCTGGCTTTACATCCTCTCTCCCTGCGCATCCAAACCTGTAAATGCTCTGCAGCACTCAGGAGCCTTCTGAACCTGACGGAAACAAATTATTTGTAATCATTTCTGTGGCTCCTGGGCTTAAGTCCACACTAACTACAACTATCATCTTAAACTTTATGATGAGTCACAAAAATAAATAAAATGAAGTCAATCAAGGTAGCAGTATACTCGGAATCACTGTTCTTGTAAACCTGGAGGCCTTTCCAAGGAAACTCCAGCTTGTCAGTAAGTGATTACGATGAAGGTATGCATTTCCCACAGCCAGTTGAAGTCCCCTATGATATTTTACTAAAAATCGATAAATGCAGATGTTGGGGGAATGTTTTCTAGGTGGCATGTTCATAATTTTATGAGAGTACAAAGAGGCTCATGACCCTAGCTAATTTAATAACCACAGTTCATTGGCTGTCTCAATGGAGAAGTCCCTCCAATTTTCAGTGGGACACACACAGAATTTCCCTGTAAATTCTGAGTCTGGCCTACGGGTACGATGTCTTTTTCAATCACCCCAGTGCAGAAGTCTTTACAACTGGGATCTTATTATTGATTTTTAAAATTTATGTTTATTCCATGGATCATTGGATTAAATCAATGTCTTGTGACTTTTTTCAGTGGGCCAAGGTGATTTCTTTATAAACCACACCTGGCTTGGTGTAAGCTGCCATCATAAGAGACAGTGTGTTGCTTGGTTCACAGTTACCTCCAAAGCATATGCTTCATAAATGGCAGGCACAATCTCCAACACTACTGAATGTTCTCATACACTATCTTGTCCCTATTTTTGAAAAGGTAAGTGGCTACTTTTGGGGAAATATAGTTAAAGACAAAAATCTAAACAGCCCAGTGGGTACCATGTATGCAATATATTACTTGCTTATTAATAATGTATCTTCATTCATGACTTTCCTATCCAGGTTGGCATTAGTTATATTGTTCCCTCTGCTCAGAATTACATTGTTCTTTATTGTATTTAATAAACCTATGCATCAGAAAAGGACCAGCCCACCGTGTGTGGTGGTGCACGCCTGTAATCCTAGCACCTGGGAGGCTGAGGCAGGAGGATCGCTGTGAGTTTGAGATCAGCCTGGGCTATATAGTGAGTTCCAGGTCAGTCTCAGCTATACAGTGAGACCCTGTCTCAGAAAACCAGAAAAGAAAAGAAAAAAGAAAAGGACCAGCCCAACACTGCCTGCTAAAAGATCTTGACCTTATGGGACCACTTTCCGGCAATCAAATGTGTCGGTGTGATACTGAGACAGATAGGCAAATTGTGTTCTGCTGACACCATATAATACTGAGAGCTGGAAAATGGGGAAAACCTTGCTTAGCACGATGGGGTTCAGACTGGTTTCATGTATATGGAAGTTTTGATTTGTGAAATTAAAGAGCATGATGGAATTTACTGATTTTAATTTTTATTTAATTTTATTTACTCAGCAAATTATTTGAGTCTCAGATTCTGTTAACTTATATGCATTAAAATGGATATAGCATATTTAAATACTTTGAAGAGAGTCTCTTTAGTGATTAACCGAACGCAGGGTGTATAAGAAGAAATGGATTTGACTTGAGCAGTGGAAATCACAGAAAAAATAAACATAGATTCAAGCCTGAGGGTAAATGGCCCCAACCTTGATGTGGCTGGAGAAGCCACTGACAATTTGAACTGCAAGTTGGTCCACATAGAGGTTTAAGTTACAAAGTCTAATTTGAAGGCTGTGCAATAAATAAATTGGAGAAGGGGGAAAAACAGTACCAATTAATGTAGTTCTGAACATATCTCAGTAGTGAAGGCTGGGTGGCATCAAATACAAGTGTTCAAGTATTTAATTTGAGAAGAGATTGAATTTGAACAAATGACTGATGATCTTTGAGCGATAAAGAAAATAATTAAACAATGGATAGATAGTGTTTATTTTTAGTGAAATTGGGCAACTTGTCAGTCTTCCTGCTGAATGATTCCTGCAAAAGCCAGTGGAGGAGCTGAATAAAAATGTGACATAAAAATCCTTTTTAAAGCATTGAAAAACCATCAGTACATAATGTAATATTCAAAAGGACAATTCTTGAGAAATCAAATACAGAGAAGTTAATCAAGTACTTGGGGCTATGGCGTAGATTGGTATATGACCATAATTGTCCTGATTCTCCTTTCCATTCCTAATCGGATTCTGAAGTTTTCTCTATCAATTAAGAGCAATATGTATTTCTGCCTCTGGAATCCAGCCTGGATTTGTGACATGTTTGTTACAAATACAATACGTTACCCATGAAATTGTACTCAGTTCAAACTTGGACCTGAAATACGGCGGTTTAGCTTTGCTAATTCTCTTTGTTCCCTAACCAAATGGTACACAAAGGAGCCCAGGCTAGCTTCTGGTCCAGTCTACCTCTTAGACTTACTGGCAGCAAGTCACCCAGACAAGCAGTAATTTAGTTAACTGACAAATGATCACAGATGCAAGAGTAAGCCTAACTAAATAAAAACTGTCCAATTCTGCTCACACCAATCGACTAAAACAAGAAGCATAAATTACACGAATGATCACGAAGTTGAAAAACAATCTCAGGTACTGATAGTGACAGTTACGCTGGATTTTTCAATTGAATTGGCTGAGACCCACTCAGAGGATCAGTGAAGCCCACATATGGGTATCTAGGTTGGTCGTGGAGGCTTGTGACCTTGGGAACTGTACCTTATCCCTCTCCCCTTCTTCCCCAGAAGAATTTCCTTTTTGTGCTGCTTCACCACCTTTCGCCAGCAGTTTTGCTCCACCTTGCCCTTCCATGATGATGTTTCTGCCTCAGAGCCAGCCAACCATGGACTGAACCCTTTGAACCCATGAGTCAAATTAAACTTCTCTTTTAAGTTGTGAATGTCAGGTGTTTGGTCCCAGTTGGAGGAAAGCTGACTAATTCTCTGATGCTGAATTAAGAAAAATTGGGATATCTGAATAATTATATAATAGGAAACAGTTATTTATCATCTAAACATTGAATGTCTACATAAATATTTTCCCACACAGGAAATTAGAGGCCACAGGACCTTGCTTACTACTTCCTCCAGTCAAGGAAGAAAGACTATCAGTCATACATAAACTCTTGCAGATAATAGGGAAAAAAAATAAATGTTTTTTTCAATTCATCACATGAGCAAAGAATAAATTAGGCATTGAGCTTTCTAACAATAGGATGAGAATTATACATAAAATTTATTTCAGTAATATGAGATCAACTTATGCAATTATTCATCACAGTGCAAGTTGAATAGGTGCAGTTCACCACAAAACAGTATAAAAGAAAAATGTAAGTGATCATTTTAGCTAAGGCATTTATTAAACAAGATTTTTTTTTTCCTTTTTTTCCTGGGGGACTGCTACATTGCTAATTGCTGCAAAAGCCCCGTGACCTATAATACCAAGCATTCGTGTGTCATGCTGAAGTTTAGAGGTTAATGAGAAAGTTCCTGCTTCAAAATATGGGTCAAACTCGGCCTATTCTACCTGATTTCTTGTTCAAAAAGTCTGCAGTAGGGCCGGGATTTAGCTCAGTTGTTCTGCCAAGTTGGATCCCCGGAACACCCCCCCAAAAAAAAAGAAAGAAAAAGAAATCTGCAGCACAAGCAGTTATCTGGGAGATTCTCTCCCAAGGCTGCTGGCCGATATAAAGAATAATTGTAATCCCTGCTGTGTCATGCCCACTGCCATTGGATCCGATGGCCACATGACCAAGTGAATCTTTATTTGCAACATAGCAAAGTAAGAAAAGAAAGAACTATAAGCGAGTGATAACACCTGGCACAATAAATTGGTAGCATTCCACTTTCATTCATAGTTAACCCAAATGATTAAGAAAGTAGGAAAATGACTTTTTACATTGTATAGTTTAAAAAATGAACAGAAGAAAAAGAATATCCATAGTCTATATATCCATGTTAACTAACATGTATGTGTTAAATTCTGAAGTTCTAATCTGGAGTGATACAAGGATATTCAAATCATAAATCTATTGCAAAATATGTTCTCCACCTTTGATAAGCACACACAGGCACATGCACACACACATGCACACAAGTGTGTGCACGTTTCTCATCCACTGCACGAGTAGCACCCGAGAGCTGTAGTTTACTCTCCTTCTTTAAAAGGCACTGTGATGACTGCATTTCTTGCCCACTTTTTTTGAATTCATTAAGTTTATTGTTACACTTTAGGTAAACAATATGATGAGATTTATCACTGAGGATTTATATGCTTACATACTATATCTTGGTTATTATTTTTCCCCATTCCCCTGCCTTCCCTTCCACCCCTCCATTCCTATTTTTTCCTTTTCTCATATTTATTCCTTTCCCTTCCCTTATCCCTCCCATTCCTTTCCCTTTTGGGCCTTAACTTCCTATTTCATATTATCTATTATACATTTTTTTTTTGTTTTTTTTCCCTCGTTGAGTTTATTGGCACATTTTAGGTATACAGTACAGTTGTTCATTATTGGGATCTTGTACCTTTACATGACAGGTCTTGGTTCTCTTTTTTCCCCTTGTCCCTGCCCTCCCATCACCCCCTCCCCCATCCCCATTTACACTTTATTTCCATTTTCTTCATTTTCTCCTGTTTTTTCTTTTCCCTTATTACCTTTCCCCTACCCTTCCCACTTTCCCTAAACCTATACCACTTTTTACATAAATTCTACTTTTCCTGCTACTTTTTATATTTTATTTTTTCCCAGTATCATTTATTTATTTTATCCTTGAAATAGCAATAGGGTTTCCTTAACATGTTCGCTGGGGTGCTTTCTCAGTGGGTTTTACTCCCCCATGAACCAGGGAACAATTCCCCGTTTCCGTTTCGCATCTGCTCCCCAATATCACAACCTGTCCGTGTCTCTGAGGTACATTGTTTCACATCATTTTCCTGCCTTAAAATTTCCAAAACTTAAAGAAAAAAGTGTACCATTCTTATAAAATATCTCTTTTCCAGAAAGTATCTGGCACATTCTGTCATATGTACAGAAGTTTTGCGATATTGTTGTGGAACCTCTCCAGATCTTAAACAGTTCTCATCAAAACAACAAATCTTTGCTTTGTTCTAATTTTCTCTCTTAATATTGAAAAAAAAAAAACCAAGAAAACATCTGAGTAATAGAGGTTCTACATAGATTTCATTAGAAATGTGTCACTGTGACTGAGGGAAGGCAGAAGTTCCAGGAAGGCACTCAGGCCTGTTCTTTCTGTGTTAGACAGGACCATGAGGAGCTCCAGGAGCGGCTGAAAGAAGTCTTTAAGGAGCGAAGCACTATCCTCCGCCAGCTCACAAAGACATCCCGGGAGCTGGATGGGATTAAGGTCAACCTTCAGGTGAGAAGGAAACTGATTAGCTTGACGGCAAAAGATAAGCAGGCCCCTGATTAGCCTCACTAGATTTAGATGCATCTTAAAATAGCTTTTAATATATTGCTGGGCTTGACCATGGTAGTTCTTTCTTGTTATTACATGAGCTTTGAAGTAAAATGGCATTTGAAAGTATAGGAATCTCAGATTTCCAAACACAGTAGGGCGGCAACTGTTTGCTTGGCAAAGCCAGAATTTCCTCAAAGTTTCTAAGATTAATGTGACCCCTGGGCTTTTCCTATTATAAAATGATGGAAAGCAATTAGACCAGTATTTAAATGCATACAGGAAGAATAATATCTAGAAGAGAATTTTAGATTCTCTCTTGAATAGCGCTGAAAATATTTATAATAAATCTCACTACTGAAATGGGTGAACGCCTTAGAAAGGGGACTGCCATCTGTGAAACTATACCCGCACAATGAAATCTCCATCGAAAACCTAAAGCAAGGCCTACTTCAGACAGTCGAAGTCTCTCAATGTGTGATAATGTTTTAATATTTAACTTTAAAGATTGCATTTACCATTAGCCCTGTGATGTACAAAAAGTTTTCTGTGTAGCACACGGTTTAGCTCTCACATTCACAGGTGAGGTTATTTTGGAAATTTTCCTTGCCATACACTATCAAATTTAGAGAAAAAGTTACTTTTAGAAATCAAAGAGGAGCCGGGCATGGTGGTGCCTGCCTGTAATCCCAGCACTCAGGAGGTTGAGACTGGAGGATCACTGTGAGTTTGAGACCATCCTGGGCTACATAGTTCCAGGTCAGTCTCAACTACCTAGTGAGACCCTGTCTCAAAAAACCAAAAAAAAAAAAAAAAAAAAGGAAGAGAAAAAAGGGAAAGAAATCAAAGAGGAAGGCAGAATTTAAAAAGCACACAATGTGGTTCCAGACCATTCTCTATTTCGTGATGACCTGGGCCAGTCCTTGAGTAATGCTGTTACCAACGCCCACCTTTCCCCGCAGCCTGCTGTGGTTCCTTTCAGGATGATGGAAGTGGGGTGGTGATGATGACGGGGTCTTAGATGCTCTTCCTAACATTTTTACTTAATTTTCTCAAGAAGAAATTGCGCAGTTCCGACTATTCAATAAGTCATTGCGCAGATGATGAAACACAGTCATGGAAAGGTTTGGAAATGAATAGCACAGAGCTAGTTGAGGCTAAACCAATGTTGAAGCTGTGGTTCCAGAAGTCTTGTTGAAAACAGAGAAGTCAGAGCTAAGAGGAAGAAGTCACCCACAAGCCAGGAGGATACAGAAACAAGCCCTGGAATGATAATAGCACAGGATTGTTAGTGCTGTTCTGGAAGTGTGCACAGATCATTAAGCACAAGACGATGTGAATAAAAAGGGATGCAAGTTGATTTTGAGTTTTGTAGGAAGCCAGTGCCTGTGGTGCACTTTATTAAGTGGAAATTCACCACATGAATAAAACCGGGAACGGTATTCAAGACATCACACGTTCTCGGAGGCCCAGAACTCACGACACCTTGACAATACTGCGAGCTTGTGGTACAACGTGCAAAAGTGGCTGGTGTTTCTGGGTTCCAGGGTTGCCAGAGTCACTACATCTCTCTACAGAATACAAAATATAATAACGGATGAATTAGGGTTTTGTTGTTGTTGTGTTGTTGTTTTTTCTACCGGGGATCGAACTCCGGTCCTTGCGCTTGCAAGGCAGGCGGTGGCACCACTGAGCTAAATTTTGAAAGTTCAACAATCACACACTTGACTGTAGTTGAGTTTTTGAAATGCTTATTGTTTATTTAGTGTCAAATATTACACCAGATTTTTCATTTTTTTATCTTATTAAATTTTTTTAGCATTTCAAATAATTAAAATGCTATATTCATTATAAAATGTGGAAGCAAGTCCCAAAGAGGCCCCATGTGGTCCCTAAGCTTATATGTATAAAAAATGGTGGTTTCGGTTTCAAATTTATAGTAAATAGCTGTTTAGTGCATTGTACATCTTTTTTTCAAATAGAAGTTCAAGAAAATACTACGAGTTTTGAAAGTTCACGTTTGAAAGTTTTTTCCATCTTTGTAATCCTGGCACCTGACTAGGATAGTACAGGAGAGTTTAGAATCACATTGGCAAATTAATTGGTGCATCAAATTTTGGTGTCCTTAATGGAACATGGATGATTTTCAGCAGATTATACCCCACCTCTCCACCAATGGGACATGTCCTCCTAACCGGAACCTGCACGTAAATGCTCTGCATTTCTGCTTCTCAGCATTGTTTTTCTGATGCAGGGAATCACATTCTAGGCCTCATGTACGCCTAATACATACTCTACCACTGACCTATATCCCCAGATCCTCATTTTTATTTTGATGTAAGATTTCTTCAGTACAATCCTTTACATTTTTAACCTGCTAATCCTTTAACCATGCCTCGGTTATAAAATCGTTAATAAGTGAATAAACCCATTTTTTCTCCCTATTTCACCCACCGTTTTCATACATCTATTTAATCTTCTTTGAGTTGAGCTGTGCAGTGTCTCTGGGCCCTTTAAAATTTACATCTTCGTTGTTTTGATGAGGGGGTGAACTGCCCGGAGTTACTCGGTCAAGATACACTTTGATTTCTAAACGTCACCAGTCATGACCTTCCTTCCCTTCATGTCTTCATTCTGCTTTCTTCCTGTCTGGGGGGAAGCTGCTCTCGAAATAGACAGAGTACTGTTTATTGGCTTCTTCCTCATGAAACCTCAGACAGCCAATGTGGAGCAGAGCCTTTTCATGTGAGGTTCAACCCACCACGTCCACATAATGGTATCTATTATATTGTGCTGAAGTTGCCTCTTTTTAGCAGGAGATTGAGCAATGCATGAGGGTGTCATTATGCCTTTGCGTAGGTCTTTGTATAATTCATGGTAGATATTTGTTACATAAATATTAAGTAAGGAGAGCATTCACTTTTGGCTCTTGTCATTCCCCTACCTGTCACTGCTACTCCATAAACGTGATTATCGCCTCTCCCTTTCAACTTTTGGTGTCAAGATGACAGGTTACTCTGTTAAATAGTTTATTATAGATAAATAAAAAAGTTATCAGGGAACATTTAATGCTACAGATTCTCATAAGGAAAACCTCATGAGGGCTTTGTGCTTTAATTAATGGCTTCAGAGTCTAGAATATGCCAGGATATATAAGCATTAATGACCAAGATGTGACTTTCTCTTTACTCCCTACTTGCAGAGGCCAGTTCATTTTACACAGCCTATTTTCGTGTACCCTAATGCATTACTCATAAATAAGGAAAAAGCAACAGCAAACAGGCCTTTTTGACAGCTTTGAACTTGAGTTGTGTTATTCCTTGACTTACAGAGAGGCTTTCTGTGTCCCACTGCATTTACTGAAATTGTGTCAGAGCTAGTTCAACACGCCTGCAGAGAACACGGTGAAACGTCAGAGGAAGTGTGCAAGATGTAGTTTATATTCACATAAAAAGACTAAGATATTTTGAGAGCATTTTGTCCTCCATCAAATCTATAAAAGCCAAGACCTAGCTCAACCCCTTTCACTCTCCGTGAAGCCATGGACTTGGTGAAAGGCTTTACTGAGTGAATCCTGCACTCCGTGGGGTCCGTCTGGCTTCCTTTGTATTCTTACCTCAAATCACATGTGTGGATAGTCATGTCTTGCACTGTGCAGTGCCACGTGAAATGAGCCTTGCTTTTTCACCAGAATGATTTTCTTTTTCCACTTTTATTATCAGTCTTTAAAGAATGGTGAGCAATCTGCCAAAACTGATGTTCAGAAACTTCTAGAATTGGGCCAAAAACAAAGGTAAGACTGTGCTTTCTTTTCACTTCTCTCTTTTTCTCTCTTCGGTTTCTTTTGCAGCTGCATTCAAGAATGCCCCCAAATTGATTAATATTTGTTTATTCTAAATGCATACACTCATTCATCTGCTTACACTTGATTATATCCATGATCCACTTGGGAAGGTTATCTAAATGAAAATTCTCATACAGTAGACTGGGGATAGGACTTAAGCTTCTGCATTTCTAGAGCACTCTGTGATGGTAGTGATGCTGCTACTCCTAGCCTGTTTGAATGTGAATGGCCAGGAATACTTGCTTTTATTAATAAGAGGAGGCCTGAGCATTGTGTCCATTTGTACACAGCTCTGATACCAAAGGCCTTGATGGGTCATGCTGAAAAGCAAAAATGAATGGTGGCATATTAAGGAAGGTGGTAATCAATTAAGAATACAAGTAGAAGGGCCAGGGATTTAGTTCAGTGGTTCCACTGCCTGCCTTGCAAGCATAAGGTCCTGACTTTGATCCCTGGTACCCCCCCAAAAAAATACAAATAGATAGAGGGCTAGGGATTTAGCTCAGTGGTTTCCAGCACCTGCCTTCCAAGCACAAGGACGAGTTCAATTTCTGGTACCATTAAAAAAAAAATGCAAGTAGAATCATTAGAATGTTATCAGTGTTGACTTGTATATATTTTTTTCTTTTTACTGAGTTTATTGGTACATTTTAGGTATACAGTACAGTTGCATTCATTACTGGGATCTTGTACCTCTACATGACAGGTCTTGGTTCTCATTTTTTCCCCTTGTCCCTGCCCTCCCTTCATCCTGCCTCCCCTTCCCATTTACAAACACTTTATTTCCATTTTCTCATATTTTTTGTTTTCCCTTATTCCCTTTCCCTTACACTTCTCACTTTCCCTACACCTTTAGCCCTTTTCTTCCTACTTCTCATTGTTAATTACCTCATTAGGATCTTGTGTACTCATATAGCTTTTCACACCAGAGAAATCATTCGGAATTTTAAACTATAAAGTTTTTAAATTATTTTTCAAAATTGTTAAAATAATTGTTAAATAATTATTAAATTATGTGTTGAAATTTATTATTTCATTAAGGTAATTATTGTAAAACTATTTTTCAAATTTGTTAAAAGGTATTTCAAGCTAGACATGAGCTAATGTTTGCTAAACATGCTCTAGATGCTACCCTGTATTATTTATTATTTGTATACATTTTTAGAATTTCATCCTTAAAAGTACCTTGTAAAATAGACACTAAGGCTCACAGATCAAATATTTTTGATCAAAATGTTTGTGAGTTTCTGAAACTCATTCCAGTTGGAGTTGAATTGCTCTCTTACTCAATAACTGGATCTTTCCAATTCGCTCGCTGACCACAAAGCAGCAAACTGTGGAAAACTGATGCAGAAATTGCTCCATGGAGTCAGTTATAAATTACTTTCATCATCCTCTGTCTCGTCCAGTGACCCAGCCTGAATTCTAAACCTGAAACCTGTCATTGGCACTTATTTACAGTGTGTCCATGACGTTTCATAAAACATCAAAACCTGGTATCAAGAACTGACTCTTAATTATTTATAATGACATGTTTATTATTTCTTGAGCACGAAATTTTCTTGAAATTCCAGGGTTAAACAAAGCTTGACTAAATTATTGATTGGAGCACGTTTCCAAAAGTTCTTTATTTTGGAAGATTATATTAGCTTGAAATACATCACTTCTTAAAACACCTATTCATGGCATCATCCAAATATTTGTGGATAGTTGAGTTCAGAGTGGAGAAATTTGTTTTGAAAAGAAATAGGGGTTTTCAATTCATGTATAAGATGAACAAAATCCTGGGACTTGTGACAACATGGATGATCTGAAAACACCTTGTGTTACATGAAATAAATAGTAAAGTTTTTTCTTGATCTCACTTTTCTGTGGGCAATCTAAAGAAGTTGACCTCGTAGGAGTGGAGAGTACCACCCTGATTACCAGGAGTGGCATGGTTGAAGAAAATGGTTGAGGAGATATTGGTCAAAGTACATAAGCTTTCAGTCAGATAGAATGAACAGTAAAAATACACTGTTTCTTGAAAAAAAAATTGGGGCAAGAAGACACAACTGCACAGGAGACCAAGAGACATGAAACACACTACTTTTTGTAAATCATTTCATTTTAGACAAGGAGAGTTAATTTAAGAAAGCAGAAGTGACCTATGTACATTGTAGGTACAATAAGAGGGTTGTATGGACTAGAGAAGAAGGAGTTATTTAGGGCAGATTAGGTGATAAAGCTGTATGCAGAATAGGACCAAAGATAAAAACAGCTGTCCCAGAATAGACTTTAGTGATGAACAACACGGAATTCATTTTAGATATCTCAGTAGGAGATGATGCAATTAGAGAACTTTTCAGTGAAGCCCACTTACGATAGAAATAAAGAGATGCAAACAGAATGAGAAAAGAATAGTTTACACATAAGGACAGAAAGATATTGACAATGAATACCAGTGAATGAAAGAAAATAAATATAGCCTTTCTTCTACACAGGAGAGATACAGGAGAGGAGACAAGGTGGTCCATGATGGGAATAAAGGAAATTATTCATTTAGTTTGCTGATGTTTTCTTAAAGTATCAGTGTCTGGTTTTAGAACATGCGAAACAGACAAGTCAGGAAAAATATGATTAAATTTCATGAGAATTTTTTTGGCTCATCTACACTTTGTCCTCATGTGCAAAATACCAGATGATGGAACCAGTCTTTCAGTGAAAGGACAAAATGTAGAAGATAGTTGGTACTGTAATTTCCAAGTTTTATTCAAATTGGAAGTCTTGTTTTAAATGCACAAATATTTTTTTGGATAAAATTCAGGTCAACACAAAAACTCAATCAATTCCAACAATAGAAACTTTCAAAATGATATAGCATCTGGTATGTTCTCTTTTGCTATTTACTTAACAATGAAATATAAAGTCAAAGTGACATGACTTTGAAGGACACTGAAATAAAATCTCCAAAAGTATATTGATAAACAGTAAAATAATATTTTTTTACAAAGATGAGTTGAAATCACCTCTGGATATTAAAAATATTAATTATTTGAAAATTTAGAAGTCTTATCTAATCTGAAAGAGTGCAATGTGTCAAAAAAGACTTTGGCTCTACATCCAACTCTCAATAATCACCGTGGCCTCTGAAACCAAGGTCTATAGATCCTATTTGGTCTTTAACCATACAATGGTCCCCAGGAACCACATTTCTTCTGTATGACTCCTTATCTACTGGGCAGAATTCACTAGTTCAGATTCAGCCACCACAACAAAACAAAATCAGTTAGAACTTTACTCCTTAAACCAAGAGGAAATTGCATATTCTATCTGCGTAACTGAACTAGATTTCAAACAAACTCAGTGGATATGTGGTGGACATGAACATCTATGTGAAAAATATGTACTTCTGCCCACAGAGATAGAGTACAGTATATGTGTTTGGAGGTGTCAGGAAGAAATATGTTGATTTAAATATTACATTTTCAGAAGTGCTCATACAGCATAGATCGTATTCATAGAGGATTGCTCAGACAGGTTTGGAGACTTTAAATGCATCATTGCAGGGTAAAAGGATAGACCCCCCAACAAAACATCCTGATAAGAGAAGAAAATGAGAGATATAACTTTATATTTTCTACATTATTTAAGGTTGATTATTGGGAGGCAATTATAAATTAAATCTTCTAAAAGAACTTGCAGTGGAGTTCTAGAAAACTAAAAACTTGACAGGCATAATGGCACATTCTCCGCCCCTATGTTCATAATTATGTTAGATACTCTTCCATAAATAATTTTGTGAATATACATTGTATATTTATAATTTGGGAGATAAATGAAATGGCTACCATCTAACATTCACATGCCATGCATTTCTATGCTAACACATCAACATTTAAATAACCCTTCACAGTTGTTACATTGATTCTGTTTTGTTGCAGTTGCCAAATTGGAACCAACTAATTCTGACCAGTAGCTTAGGAGTCATATAGATAAAGTGTGGTGCCTGGGGAACATTTTTATGGGTAAAGGACAAATCTTTAGACTTAGAGCTTCAATTTGGTGCCAGATACTGCCCTAGATTTGCCAGAGATTGTATGGTCAAATCTCACCGGGTGATGTGAAGTTGTATCAGTTAATTCTCTTGTTACTAGGACCGAATGACCCGACACTACAATTTAAAGGAGGGGAGATTTGTTTGGCTTAAGGTTTCAGAGAATTCAGTCCATAGTTATCTGGCAATATTATAAGAGAAAAACCTAGCATAACAAAGCTGCTTGGTTCGTGGCGGGTGAGAAACAGGACAAAAGAACAGCACAGGAAAGAAAGAGACTAGGGAACAAAAACAGTACCAAGATTACACCTCCAAGAGCCACACAAACAAATCTCCTATGTTTCTCTTCATCCAACCAAATTGATATCATAAATGGTCACAATCCAACCCTCCCCACTCAACTTGACCCTTGGGCATATCACTTTAAAACATACTTAATATAGACAATAACAAATTAATAGCCCCACCTAATATGATATAACTATCTTGTGCACAGCCAAAATACAATAATCTCCTTTCCCCCATGGTCTTAACAGTTCTGGCATGTCTTAAAAGTGCAAGTCCAAGGTCCCATTGAGATTCAAGGCAAACTCATAGCCATGAGCTTCAGTAAAATTCAAACTGTAAGTCATTGTATGTCAAAATGCAATGGACAGTGTAGACACACCCATATCAAAAGGGAGCAAAAGAAGAATACAAAAGAATTGGATCAAAGCAAACAGAAGAATACAAAAGAATTCATGTCCAGCATCCAGGAGCTGTGGTAGTGAGATGTGACTTCCATGGGGCTCAGAAGCCTCCACCACTAAGGTCTTGCTGACTGTCACTCACATAGCCTTCCTTTTGGGCTGTTTCTGCTCCTAGTCTATAGCTTTCCCTGGAAGATGTCCATGTTCCTGCATTTCTGACTTCCAGAGGCTCTAATTCACCTCATGTTTATGCCCATAGTTCCAAGTCCTACCCTTTAAGGGACTCCTTAACTGAGCTCTTTGAAGTCTGGGTGGAAGCCTCCTACATCCCAAAACTCTTGCACTTTGCATGTTCATAAAGCCAGTATACCTTGGTTGATGGCAAGATCTTCCCTCAGCGCTATCAATAGCCAGGCCCGCTGGAACTGTGGTTGCAGATTGTTTTGTCTGGTTTACAGTTTGGTTTGTCTTGGACCAAATTTTTGAGGGTAAAGTTAAAAAAAAAAGTTTAATTTACTAGCAAAGGGTCAGCCTGCATCAAAGTCTGTGCCAAAGGACCGACCCGGGACTGGGTAACAGTCTGTCTTTTATAGGAGTCTTACAATCATGACCTCATTTTACCTGATAGGACTTTCTAGTTCCCACAGTTCCCATCACAAATCATGGTCACAAGACAGTACAATGTTAACCCAAATGTACCAATTTTTTTCAGGATGTTTATCGTAAGCTATTTCAGCCCACAAGGGTGGGGGCCAGAGTTAGGAGGGCAGGACTGGTGACATTTCTTTCATCTTATCACCTCTTTAGCCATATATTTTACAGAAAGTTTTATAGTTCAGGGACTGTTATCTTAGCTTGAACATTTGATCTCATCCTGGAATGCGGTTTAGCACCTCAGGCATCTGTTGAATTTAAATTGGGGCTATGAGCCTTTAAGCAATGGTGAAACCTTGGATGTTTCTGCCTCTGAGTACCTAGATGGCTGAATATGGTGAAACAAATACTGGGGAATCAATTTTACACAAGGTCCTTCTAAAGCAGCTGTCTCACATACTCAATTCAAATTTTTACAATTTTTCATCCTTGAGCTTGCATTGGGTGAGTTCTTGCTGATTCTTAAGATGCCCTCAAGGGACTATTCTCTTTGTCCTTGTTCAAAATACTTCATTTCATTTTGGCATAGTTGTACACATGGTTTGTTTTGGACCAAATTTAAGTTTTTCAACATTGTCTGCCTTGGCTTTTGTTCATATTTTTTAGTCTAAAGGCAGCCAGTAGCACCAATGCCACAGCCCAGGATTGGGACTATTTTAATAGTTTCTCTGCCAGATCAATTAATGCGTCTCCTATAATGTTTCAAGACATGGGGAAAATGTAGAAATATTTCTTCCCAAGGTTGAGCGCAAACACCCTCTAGTCCAACTGCCAATAGAGTTCTTGTTTCCAAGAGGCACCTCTGGATCCTGGCCCTTATTGTCTTCATTCTTCCAGCATTCAAGTCACTTTAGCTACTTTTCCATCACTGGGAAAAACATTGAACAATCACAAGTTAAAAGGAGGTGTTTATTTTGTCTATTATAGAAATTCACTCCAGTTTTTTTTAGGCTCAAATGTAGAAACTCTGTGGTAGGAGGGCTTGGGTGGAGGAAAGCTTCCCAGACCATGGCAGCCAAGAAGCAGAGCAAAAGGAAGAATCAAGCGGGGAGACACTTTTCCAGATCAGGCCCTCATCCATCTACCTCTTCCAACCTAGCACCACCCCTTAATTTCACATTTAGCTGTAGGGGCTCTAAGATTCAATCGCCTTTCAAAAGCCTATGAGCACATGAGTTCCTTGGAGACATCTGGATATAAAGCATAACAGTCTTATCAACTCCTAACCGAATCTGTCATCAATTTTTTATAGCATTCAAGGTTTCTCGAGCCCAAATCTCCCAATCTTCCCAAGCTCCTTCCACAAACCAGCTGCAAAGGATTCTGGGCCAAATGGCTAGGTGTAGTCACAACAGTGACTCCACTTCTCTGCTACAAATTGTCCGAATTAATCAGCTTTTCTGTTGCTGGAACCAAGCTTCCTGACACCACAAATTAGATCAGGTTTATTTGGGAGGTTTATTTGGCTCACAGTCTCAGAGAGTTCAGTCATGGTCAGCCGGTGCCAGAGAAAAGCATCACTGAAGAAGAAATCTGCAGTCAGGAAGCAGTGGGAAAGTGTACCAGAGGGGCAGGGGTGAGGAAGCAGATACTGAAGTCACCTCCACGTTCCACATAGAAACACCGGAAGTGAGCTTTACTGGTCTTCTAGATGTGCCTTACCTCTGTGAAGGCCGTATGTCAGGATTAACAGTCATACAATTGCTGCAGAACTAAGTCTGCTCTGCAATCATCTCCCTGGGGCATAAATTGCAGCTCTGTGAGATGAAGTTGTTGCGGTCTGCAGAAAGCCCGAGATCAGTGAGCACTGGAAGGAATGTGAAAAGATGGCAGCAAAAATTGAGAGAATTAGAGAATGGAAGATCCACTCATCTGTTATCCCTACCAACATTCATTGCCATTATAATGTGCAGAATGCGCCACTTCTCCAGTTTGTGTTAACAGGTTTTACTATTTATTTTCCATTTTAGTACTTGAAGTGCTTCTAAGTATCAACGTGAGGGACTTTCAATAATCAATATATTTTATAATTTAACTATTTTTTAGATGTTTTGCATATGTTACTTAAAACAAAAAAATGAATCCTGTGTGGTGGTGTAAGCCTGTAAACCAGTTTGAGAGACTGAGGCAGGAGGATCAGAAACTTGATACTAGTCTGGGCAACATAATAAGACCCTGTTTTGAAATGAAATTTTTTAAAATGAGCTGAAAGTGTAGGTCAATGTGAAGGCCCTGGCATAAAACTCACTATTATAAATTAAATAATTGTAAAATCTTAAATTTAAAATGACTTTTAATATAGTAATATAGCATTTTTAGTTGGAAACACAATTCAGTTGGATTTTGCTTGCTGAATATTTTAGTATTTAATCTCACGTTTAAATCAGTCCTCCCCTTCTCCCTTCATCCTTGGCTTCTTTCCTTCCTATTTCCCTTCTTTCTCTCTCAGTAGAGGCAGGACAGTGATTTTCTGTGCTGTTCCACTCCCTTTCTTGTAATCAGTTTTCTGTCTGTAATATGTTGCCATATTTTGATGAGAGGCTTCTAGGAACGATTTGCCTAAGACTGCAAGGTATGGAAAGCTTTATTCTGTAGAATGTTATATTATGCCATGGGTGCTCTTTGAAAAAAAAAATAACAGAAGAATTCCAGTCTTTAGTGTCCATAGATGAAACCTGTTTGAAACATTGGTTTGAGACCATAACGGCTGCTGCAATTTAGCTTCCACTTTGAGCCAAAGCATGGTGAAGACATCATCAATGCGGCATATTTCATCCACGGAATCAAACCAACTCTAATTATGCTATCACTCATGCTAATTGCATTTTACTTTGCCAAAGTTCAAGTTGATTTCTACCAGCATTTGGGTTCCCTCAGATTCTCGGCATTTCATGTGGGGCATAAGAAATCCTGGAGTAGAAAATCTGGGCCACCATTAATTTCCCTGGGAAAAAAGAGCCTTGCGTTTATGTGGGACTTGGTGGCTCGAGGATGCCACAGGAGCCTGCACCGCTGCTGGTGTTGCAGCAGTGGTCTAACATCTGCTGAGTGATGCTTTTTTGGCATCGTGCTAAGGATTTGGTTCACACACTGTCCTGTAAACCTGACCGTAAACCTACCTGGTAGTTCTACCATTACACTCATTTTATAGATGAAGAAACTGAGTCTGGGAGGGTCTGTCACTGGTCTATTGGGAATATTGTCCTGTCACTTGGTTGAGAATTTTAAACTACTTAACTAGTTTGGGCACAGTTAAGATCGGAACATCTTTCTGGTTTGTTCTCGTTCCTTTGTGGGAGTGCCTGTAGCCAGCATTCCTTCATGCACATACATACACGTGCACTACACGTTATTTATGCCTTGCCTTTTTTCAAGTGTTAGCTTTGGTGGTAAAATAAATCACAGCCGGATAGTGGTATCAGTCTTAAAAGAGTAAATTCTCAATCCTTAAGAGGAATGTAAATTTAGGAAAATATTTCTGTTTTCAACAAGGGAGACAGTTCATATATTTGTATGTTAGTGAGAATGAGCCACAGTGTGTATATAAGACTAGAAACGTTCCCTTTATTATGCCCATTAAATTAGGTGGTGCTTAAGTTAGAAATACATCTCTTTTCCCTTGCTATTACAAAAGTGCTCAGGCCTTGGAAAGGATGTTTAGAGCCCAGTGCTATAGGATTAATCAATTATCAGCACAGAAGGGAGTACTAATTTTATCCTATCAGCAAGTCTGTTGTGACTTTTCCTAACCAGCAGGTCCACATCTCGGCATGCTGTTAGCAAAATCAGCTTTTCAGCCCAAATTAATAAATTGACTTGATTTAACACATTATGTAGCTCACAGATGATTCACATAATGGAATTTTTGCGAAACATCAGAGCAGAGCCATTTCCTTTAAATACAGCATCCTTTTTTATTTTCCTGGGAGACAAGGACCTTTATTGCCAAAGTATTTAGATATATCTTCTTTCCATAACTGTTGCTTTATAAAATTGATAGATAGCAATGCACATAGAGAATAACAGCATGATGTTATATCTCCCCTTTGCTCTTTGTTTTGTGCTAAACTAGAGAAGAGATGAAGTCTCTCCAGGAGTCCTTGCAAAATCAACTTAAAGAAACATCTGAGAAAGCAGAGAAACACCAGGCAACTGTGAGTGTGTTTTTCTTTGTCCCTTTCATGTGGGCCAGGGAAATCATCACTTTGCTTTTTTTTTTTTTTTTTTAATCACTGTGTGGTCTTTTGATCACAACCACATGGAGAAAAAGGAACCTTGCCACACTTTTGGTGGGAATGAAAATTACTGCAGCTACCATGGAAATCGAGGTGCAGGGCTTGACTAACTGCCTTTAATTGGGGGTTTTATTGGATCCAGACACAGTGAGATGAGGGTGCTGCTAGGAAGCGCAGAACACGGGTGCCCAATTCATTGTTTCCTCAGGTCCTTGTGGCTGGATACGCTGCTTATTGTTTCTTCACTGAACAGTAATAAATCATAGAATGTAAATTTACAGCTTATATTCACCCTGCTGGTAGCCAGAGGAACCACGCACAAACTCACGTTCATCCCTGTATATTATGTAAACTAAGATCGGAAAAGAAGAGAGCGTCAACCTTCGAAGAGCAAAGTCAGAAACGTTAGAGAAATGACCAGCTGTGCAAATCACCATGGGCCCTAAAGGCTGTGCTGGGAAGAGGAGGGAGTCAGGACGGCCGTTAACGCTGCCTTCTCAGCGTGCTTTCAATGAGTACTTAGGCTTCTGTGTTGAGATTTCAGGGTTTCCATTTTCCCCCATTTATTCTACTCAACTGGAAACTCCCCATAGGAAGTCAACTTAGCATGCATTTCAGAGTAAGACATTGTGTATTAAAATTCCTAGTGGAAAATTTACACTGTGGATTTGGTCAGGTTCTTTCAAATTGACAGTTTTCCTTATTTACCCATTTTAGAATGTTGAATCTCATTAAAACAACAAAAATAATTCCCTTTAAATTATATCTGGTGTTAGAAGACAGTAGGCACTAAAGTAATATAATTCTACTCCTCTCTGGCTTGTCATTTTCATTTCATATCTAGCACTTCTGAGCGGAGTGAATATAAGGGTATCACTTTATTTCTCAAAATTATATGTCGTCATCATCATGATTACTATTTTTATATCTAGCCATTCATTTATTATTTATTTATTTATTCGTACCGGGGATTGAACTCAGGACCTTGTACTTGCAAGGCAGGCTGTCGAACCACAGAGCTATATCCCCAGCCCTATTTCTAACCATTTTAAAACTCTACCATCTGTTAATATCACCTTAAGTGTTCTCAAGTATAACGTAAGAACGAATATCTGAAAACCAGTTAAAATAATGTCTGTTGTTCATTATCTAGACTTTTCCTAATTTCTCAACCCTTCTGACATTGCTGTTGAGAGTGATATTGTTAAGCAATTTCTGGATACTACTTCGTGGATTTCCCATAATTGTTCCTTAGTATGCTATCAGATTGAGCCTGAACTGAGCTTCCCAGAGTTATGCTGCTTTTGTGGGAATCAGATATAAGAATCATCAGTGATGGTACTGTGTCACTTTCATGTCATAGATAACTACTCATTAACTTTGATCTGTGACTTGCATTTTCTAAGCTGCACACCTTTAATTCTGTTTCTTCTGTCAGTGTTTTAAATAATTTAAATATCATTCATTTGCATATACTTATATAATTAGATAAGTCTATGACAATTTATGTTTGTATGTACATGTGTTTGGGTAAAAAAAGCAGTTTATATTATAGAAAGAATAATATTATCTATCACATTTACTAGAAATGTAAAATGTAAGAAAAGAATCAGCACTGAAGGTGTAACTCTTTAATTAGAAGTGGAACTCTTGATATAGATGGGCTAGGTGAAGGAATACCAATACTATCTCACTCCACTCTGGATGTCAGCAAAGGTACTTTTCTGTTACGTGCACTTGTGGAGTGCTAGCTCACAGCAGATACCAAATAATGACAAGTAACCAAATTCAAGGAGCCTTTTCTAAAATGGCCTAGGGTGTAGCCTTCAGTGTGAGGGGCTGAAGCAGGAGGATTTCACAGTTGAGTCCAGTTAAGGACTTAACTAGTCCATATCTAAAAGGAATAAAATAAATTACAAAAGGGTTAGGGTGATGGCCCTGGGTTCAATCTCTACTACTCTCCCACCAAAAAAATAAGAGACAGAGAGAATTATTTAAATTAAGAGAATACTATTAATACACAAGCATGTTGAATTTAAAATTTGAAAGAACGATATATAAAATAAGCACAATAATAATTAATATATTTGCAAAAGCAAACTATAAGAAAGTGAACTGGTGATGATGTTCATTGCCCACATGACAGAAGGATTTGAGAACAGTGATGTAAAAAGGGAAGGTTTTATCTGCTAACAAAATTTTAAGGAAGAGAAAGTAAACTTGTCATATGCACACCTTCACCTAACAAGGCAGCTGCGTCACTTGTATTAATAATGGGAGAAATACATGAGAACATGAATTTAATATTTTGAAACTCAATTGGGAGTTTGACACTTTCACATGTATGTGAGTACTCTTCAACAGAGTTTCTAAATTTACTCAAAACACAGAGGTTATTTTTCACCAATGTTACAGAAATGCAGTATTTACTAATACTTAACTAAGGTTTGATAAATTCAAGAACATTACTAGCATAATATTAATAGGCTATATAACAACCAATTCAATGTTATTGTAACAAAAATAGCAATTATAAAATGTGAAATAATTCTAAAATTTGGAAAATCTGTAGCTTATTTTCAAATCATCTTTGGATTGCTAAAATGTGATAATACATTAAGACGCAGGTAGGACAAATTAATAGTGAAAACAACCCGTGCCATGGTAATACTCCATGGGGAATAGATTGCTTTAAATATATTTTCTAGGAAAGGTAAAAGAAAACATAGAATTGAACAAGTTGATTAAAACACAAAGTAGCAAATTCAGTAGGAAAAGCAAAGAAAGACTGATGAATGCCAGACAAGAGACAAGTAAGACATGACTCAGGTAGACAGGAATTGCAGGGTGGAGCTGAGTGGTGAAATGCTTCTGAGGCATGTGCAAGGCCGTGGGTTTCATCCCCAGCACCAAAAGAAAACAAAACAAAATGGAGGGGAGGGGGAAGAGATGTGGAAGCCAGGGGGAGGGGAGAAGTAAACACAAACATTCAAGCAAAACCTTGAAATTCTTATTTAGTTCTTTCAAAAGATGATACATTTAATTAAACATAACAGTCTTCAAAACAACTATAGGACCGAGCATTTAGCTCAGTTGTTTTGCCACCTGCCTTGCAAGCGCAAGGCCTCGATTTTGATCCCTGGTAACAAAAACAAAACAAAACTCTATAAAAAGACTCAACGTATAACATATGTAGAACAAAAGGGAAATTGCAATCTTCATGATTGAAATTAATGAGTATTATGGGCAACTGTCCGTTAAAATCTTGAAAATCCAAGGTTTAAATATAAAATTCAAAAACTTCTCAAACCTGAAACACAGTATTTGAATAGGCCAGTAGGTTTAGAAACTTGATTGTATCAGAAACAGTCCCTTCCTCCAAGTTTCAACATGAGGACTTTTTTCTCAGAACATATTTGCAGTATAACGTTCACATTCCCGGTGGGTGCTGGTGCAGGAACCAAACACATGTAAATTCTTCTTTTCATCTCCTTTCTCTTCCACCCCGCTCCACCCATCTCTTGATGCCTTTCTTGTTTTTGTCTCTTTGTACATTTTTTTTTTTCAATACAGCATGTTCACATTCCTTCTGTGGAACTGGTTTTCAAAGTGTTTTTCATCTGTTTTTCAAATACAAATTAACTCCTATCCTATGCAAGTCTTTTCTGGAAAGTAGAAAATGAAAACAAAAACTCTTTTTGTTTACATGTGTCCATTTTTACATGTGTCCATTTTTGTTTACATGTGTCCATTTTTGTTTACATGTGTCCATTTACCATTCCACCACCACCGAGTAACGAAAGACCTGACTACACTCATAGATGTATTTCAGGGGTAATTTTGATATAAAAGTCCTGAATAACTAAATTCATGAGCGTATTAACAAAATGTGCACTATGGTCAGTGAATACAAGTATTTACATGTGAAAGAAATCATCACGATCACTTTGGAGTTGTGGATTTTTTATTTGAATTGAATGAGTCATATTCTGAAACTTGTAAAACAAATGAGAATGAAGTATATTTATAAATACACAACACGCACACATGTGTATGTTTCATTTTTTTCTTATGCATCGCAGAACACTTAGGAGAGCAGGAATTTCTTACTCCTAATTCACAGTTTACCAATATGAGTTAAGCCTTGACTACAATATTTCTTCTTTCTATGTGAAAAGTCCAGGTTAACTATGATTCAATTAATAATTAGTTTAACTTTTTTAATTCTTGTAAGTTTTTCACTCATTATTTTCCCTGCTAGAAAGACTATAATGTTAATTGGCATTTATATAAGAAATGGAATGAAGATATGTTATATACATTTACTGATTCCTCAGGATGAATTTATTTGTTATTTGCTGCAAACAGGTACTAAAATAAAAAGAAGATAAAGGGAATTGTAATTGTTCTCTATTAAGGGGGTAGGGATTTTGGATTTGATTCTATAAATACTGTGCTATTTTAGATTTAATGCCGGGTTAATTCTATACTAGTCTTGATTAACTATCAAATAACTACATCTATTTCCATAAAAATAAAAATTTCCATTTTCTTTTTTGCAAAAGATATTGCAAATAACCATTGAGCTGGTTCAGTCCAAAGTAAAATACTATGAGTCATAAAGGTAATTTCTCCTTTTAAATTATACAGATATAGAAGAAGATACATTTCTGAATAAGGATATTTTTCTAAATAAGTACACTGCAAAACCCAGGACTCTGTCTTCCCCTAATTATGTGTCCACAAATACTTTATGAAGAAGTAAACAATTATTTTCATTTCTAAGCACGTAAAGGGGTGGCACATTTTTAAAACCCATGCGCCTCATGAAAATCCCTACCAGACCGCAGGGAAACATGAATTCTCAGGTGTAATTGGAGTAATTACAAATATTAATGATCGCTGGGACGCATTTAACAAATTGTTAATTTTTATGGCTTGACTTGTCCTAAGTGAGAAATGATTAGTTGAAAGAAAAAGCTTCCTAATGCTTTTACTCTCATTACAAATAACAAATTATTGTTCTCACATCTTGTGGAAAGTTAAATACATTGCATTTTCTATGTCTTAAGAATTATTTCCTGACTATCTGCTAGGAATGTGTATTTCCCAGGGGATATTAAAACTTGCTGGAATTCTAAACCGATAGTCTTAAAGTGCTAACATTTTTAAATATTCTGAATACATGCTAGGTTCTGAATATTTAAGCTTCACATTCTCCAGTTTTTACATTTAACTTTTAAAGAATCGCAGAGATGGCATTGCAATATGTTTTCAGTGTGGTGAGTTTTTATTTATGAGCAACTTCTACTTAAGAGTACCGATTTGTGAAAGTTTGAGTAAAATAGCGCTATTTCCACAAAAGCAATTTATTGTTTACAGTGGCATCCACTAATTCTGGGCTTAAAACAAATCTACAATTTATCAAAATTTTCTGGTAGTAATAAAGTGCTTTGGTGTAAAACAGGTGTGAAATCTCTGTACCAGGAGGTGGTTAGTCCACAAATACATGTCTCTTCAAATGACATCATGTTCTTCCAGCTAATGCCTTTGTTTTGTCATCTAACTAGAACTCTCTACCTGATGGGACAATAAGTTCAAGTCATGGTTTGAGGTGTTTCCATATTCTCTCAGCTCAAACTTGCTTTGAAAACTATTATGGCTGAAGCATCGGACAGACTATTCATATTTCATCTGTACTCCGCTATCAGCATCAAGATGTTTGGTTGGGGTTGTCGGTACAGTGGACCCTCAAGTTACAATGCACCTGACACAGGAACAACCTGGGTTAATAGGTCAATGGAAGATTCATCTGCCTCTTGTTAGCTATAGCGTGGACCCGGGAAAATATCCAGATCTCAGTTGTATTGACTTAGTTATAACCTTGCTGTAGGGACTGATTGAGTTCATAAGTCAAGGGCCCACTCTACCATGTGAAGGAAAGATAAGGTCATGAGCCACAAAAGGAAGGGTGCTAGCAGGTATGGTAGGCTTCTAGATGATGTTGGGAAGCCCTGTCCCGGTGTCAGTTGTGAAAGACTCTCAGGTGGTACCAGAGTCACTCTTGAAGACGCCAGGGGCAGAAATCTTCCGGTCCTCATTAGATGAGTCTTTAACTGTATGTAAAGCACTTTTACGCAAAGCGCTGAAACATGTTGGACAAAACAACTATATTGTTTTAATCTTGGGGGTGTGTCCAGAGAACATTTAATACATTACTGGACATTATTTTCTTTGTGCTTGAAATGTTTCAGAAATAAACATTTTCAAATTGACCTATGTACTTTCCCTAAGCTTGATTTCTGGTCCAATTTCACATTCTGACCAGAAGTAACCCATTCCATGAGTGATTTTCTACACTGAAGGAATCTTTCACACACCAAACTACTGAGCAGTAGGATTAAGCTATAATCCTGATGAATTGTGCTGTGAGTGCAGAACACACTGAATTTCAATGTCATATTAAATAGACTGTAGATGTATATCATTAATGATCTATTTAGGCTGGAGCTGCATGGGTTTCCCCAGTAGCATGCTTCATGAGGCTGTGGATTCAATACACAGAACCGAAACAATGTATGTACAAAGTCAGTGTTTTGAATATGTTGAATCAAATACATTGAGAAAATTAGTTTATCATACATTTCCTTATTTTTTTAAATACATGCCCAAGAAAACTGAAAAATAGAAAATTGAACTGTTCCATTCACTACCACGAACCCTTTATTATAGTGAACCCTCAGTGACTAGATTGAATATAGTCTATGCAAACTCTGATCACTGTAAGAGGTTACTGCCTTTGCTTTGTAATGCTGAGGGCGGATAAAGCTGCAATGTCTGTGCATAACAGTTTGGAGAGCCGGCTAAAGTTACAGATCCTGACAGTGTACCCACCAGAAAAACCAGGGTTTCTTTGATAGAATGTACATCGAACACTGCAAATTTTAGACATGAGAAGCAACTGTGCAGTTGCTTTCCAGTCTGGCTACAGAGAAAATTACCTGGGTAATGTTTGATGAGTAGGCCCACAGTCCAAATCCTTTTCTTTTCAAAGAATCATTTTTTTTAGACACCAGGTTTATCCAGGTTAAAGAATTAAAGTCATCATATAGATGCTTTCTCAGTTAAAATGAAGTGGTGTGTTACTGAAGGAAAAATATTCTTACATAATTAAGGAATATATGTTTGAATTGAATAATTAAAGTTTTGGGTAATGAAAATTGTAATTCTTTGCTTTTTCTTTGGTAGCAAAAGCACAGTCTTTTTCTTAGAATCAAATGATGACAAATATGAAAGACATGGAAGTAAATATAGATGGATCTACATGATATTCTATTCATTTTCAGATTAATTTCTTGAAGACTGAAGTGGAAAGAAAAAGCAAAATGATCCGAGACCTTCAAAATGAGGTAAGATTTGTATTAGAGGAGCTGGGGATTTAGCTCAGTGGTTCTGCCACCTACCTCGTAAGCGTAAGGTCTCGAGTTCAATACCTGAAACCAAAATAATAATAATAATAATAATAATAATAATAATAATAATAATAATTTTTATTAGAGGAAGACTATGTAAATCAAGGAATAGATGTGAACATAGGTATAATTTTGGCACATGTTTGGAGTTCTGATCACATGTCTACTTGATCTTCTCTTATACACTAATGGAAATTGTAAGGCTAAAGTGTTAAAGAGTAGAAAATATCTATCTATCTGTCTGTCTATCTATCTCCAGGTCATTTTCTATGTTTTCCATAAGGTGATGTTAAAATTGATTTCTTTTATAAATGTATTTATTTGTCTACCAAATGACATCTCAAGAACTGAAAAAGTAAGCTGGCTGGAATTTAGCTGTGTGCTAGAAAGAGCCAGTGTAGAATAAAAATGTATTTATGACTCCCTCGAATGCAGAAGATTTGAAAGTGAAGAAGTTGAATCTACTTTCATGGTACCTTTCAACAATATGTGTAACACGCAGGCATGAAGACGCACACACACACAAACAACATGAACCCACATGTATGACAATGAGAATATTAAGTTAATTTTTCTGTATAACTGATTTTGGTTACCTTTTAATCCAAGATAAATGTTTAAAAATATAGAATTCAACAACAGTACTCAAATGAGAAATAAGCTCTTTGAATGTAAAACTACAAATTATTCTTAACAAATAAATATGAAGATTGGAAGTATTTTCCTTTGTTTTGGGGTGAACATTTATTTGAAATCCTAATTCGACACCTAAGGAAGGCTAGAGTAATTCCAAAGCTTTTTATAGAGATGCTATTTGCTAAATACACATTTTAAAATTATGCTTATGACTGCTTATTTTCATAACATTGTAAACATGTGTGATAAAAACTGACAATGAAAATATTATTTAACTTCCAAAATCTGAGGTGAACATGTATCATCAACTGAATGTTTTCAGTGTGAACCCTTCGTATTAATTCCCAGAATGTTTAGTTGTTTTACTTGGGTAAATGGTCTGTATGTAGAGACTTAGGGAGACATAGTGGGCAGAGCCCTCACTCGTACTCCGCAGAGTAAGATTGTATGAATAGTGCTAGAAAGATCTGTTCAAGAATATGCAAAGCAAACAGATATACTGTTTAAAGTACAGAGAGGTGAGGGAGACAGGGAGGTCTGCACAGAGTTCTAGAGCACGCTGGAGGCTTCTGAGTGATTGCTTTTGAATGAGAATATCAGTAAACTCTCAAAACGCGAAACGAATTTTGGGAAATTATTAACGAATATTCTTGGTACTAATTATTTAGTATTTTCCATATATAAAAGCAAATCTATTAAAATTTTTACATTAGCTTTTAAGATTCAATGTTGAATATTTACTTCTTTTGGAAGGAGATTTTCCATATTTATATACATATATTCACGAAAATCTGCATCAAATTTTAAATCTGATGCTAATTTGCGTTAGTAGAGGTCAGTGCCTCCAGGTTCTGTGTATAGATCCAAGGAACTAACTCTGAATCCTGAGCGTAAGACTGTACAGATGGACCAACTGTGGTGTTAGGATAACAGCTAGAAAGTATTAAATTCTGGTTGTATTTTTATTAGTTTTGCTATTGTTATTGCTAATGCCATGGTTACAATTCATATAGTAGTCTTCCTAAATCCTAGCTTTTCCCTCAAACATACTGTTTTTACTGTCTAATTTGCAGAAAGGCAGTTTTTCAATTCACAAATAGTTTTACATTTACCTTGTGCTCTATGTCCACAGATCTGATCTTTGCAGTGTCATCCCCTTGTTTAAAAGCTCAACTGTGATACAATAAAATGTGTAAGGGTCTTATTTGAGCGAATATAAATTGGGGAGATCCAGGAGTGATGGGGTGGGTACACTAAGGAAGCACAAGGGCAGGGCTTTGATAGGACTAACACAGATGTCAAGAAATAGTTAATTGATTAGAATTATGCAGCCACTTTATGTGGGCCATCCTCTTGGCAAGTCCCCAGGTCTACAAACTCATGAGTGGCTTCTGAATAATTAAAGTTGCGCTCATTTTTAAAATACTGGGTAGTCATGTATAGCAAGTAGTACAAAAGAGTTTGCGTTTATACTGGGCAATCAGACAAGGTAAAGGAACCCTATGTGGCTTTGTCTGCTCAAGATCTCAGAGTCCTGGTTTCCATTTTAATGTACATTTACGTAGCTCCGTACACTGAATCGCTTCTTATATGATTGTCGTAAGTACGCTTTTTCATAAAGAAGGAGGAAACAAAACCTTTGATATCCCTTCTCCGCCTCCCCTGTATGGCCAGCACGTCACTGGATGCAGTCAATTTCATGTCCTGCAAACCTGCGAATTCATTTTGAGTTTCACCACTCCCTTTCTCTGCTATTATTCCAACTTTCTTGATTTCATTCATTTTTCTCACAGTGTAAAACCAGTTTGTCTAGAATGGTTTGAAATAGAAATAAGGCTCAGGGAATGAATCAGATAGGACATTCAACTGGAAAGCACTGGACACATCGAGCATTGGGAAAAACGGTTGAATTTCCCTAGCGAAAGGAATGAGCTGCATGATATTCAGTACTTTTAGGAGAACATATAGCTAGCAATATTTGGTAGGCATTGATGTTGACTGGGTCTATATGGAACCCCTGAGCGAATAAATGTAAATGGCAGTTAAAGGGGAAGGAGAGGAGGCAGGAAAAGAGAACAAGAGTGTGACAAGAAAGGGGAAAACACAAGACAGAGGAGATATTTTTCCTCACTTTCTTCCGTGGTGGTTTATTTTTATCTAGAGTGTAATTAGTTCTGAGGCTCATTTAGGTGGGTAAAGTTAAGGTGGAAATAGGGAATCATGATGAAAACAAATGAGGCCAGAAACTGTGAGAGGAGGCTTTGTTCTGCTCAGGGGTGGGAATGAAAGACTGTCCAAGTGATCAGGCTTTTTCTGCACTATTTCATGGCTCAATTTTCTTGTCATTCCTGTGCCTCAACTCTTTTATCTTTAACCTCCTTGTCAAATGAGCTACAGAGCTTAACCCAATTTTGATTTAATAATCTGCCATCTTCGCCTTCTATTATTTAATCTCCTCTGATGTTTGTTCTGTTGCTGTTTCTACAAGCGCCTGGGAGAAAAATCTCGCCACTAATCTATCTGTGGATTCCTAGATAGTTCCAAATACCTATTAATAAATTTTCAGGGATCTGAAGACTAAATCCTAGGGTTTTAGGGCTGATATAGAAATCGCAGTTTTTGGTTGGGGCAAATGTATCCTTTGTTCAGAAAGGAATTTACTAAGCCACTTTGGAGAGCTTGAAAAATTGTAAGGAGGAAGGTAAATATAGTTTGCACTGAGGTCTTAGGAACAACATCACAGACACAGGACTGTCATAAGAAAGGGCTACTTTTGCCAGTGTCCCCAAGCTGCCAAACTCCAGCACCCTGCAGTTTTGTCTTTCACAGAAGACGCTGGTGTTCTCCATCTTCATACTGTGCATCTCAAGCTTCAGTTTCTTCTGCCGTAGAGCAGCCATGACCTTTGGTAAGTCAGGGAACTTGCTCTGGCTTCTGAATTTTCCGCTGGAACTGTGGATTCAGTATTGCAGAAAGGTTTTCATGTTGTAGAAACAATTATCAAAGAAAATTGGCACCACATGCATTAAAGGCCACTTTTCTTAGCACCTGTGGTACAGTGCATGGCATTGAGCATTAATAGTTCTCACCACCCTGATAGTCACCTCCCTTCAGAGTCATTGAGAAAGGTATTCTGAGACCAGAGCCTGAGCTTGCAGTTGCACTAATGTTTATCCTGTAATTTCTCAAGTGTGTACTCGGCATCTTGTCCATCCTTATCTTGTGAGTACAATTTTCTTTCTTCTCAGTCATTTCGTCAACTTGATGCAGACTCTGAAGTTATAAACCTAACCTTCATAAAGTCTAATTCACAGTTTTACAAAACAACAGGGAACAGCCAGTATTTCCACATTGAAAATAAGTTAAGACCTAAAGAAAGTCTGTTTTTTTTTCTTTTGTTTTGTTTTTTACCAACAGCAAATTAAATTAATTCAATGAACAGTGGCTGTTCCATTCTAATTTAGAGATGAAAGCTGATTTAATAATTTTTTTCTCTAATAGGATTGCATACAGACTGTGTGAAATATAGAGATTAATATCAGGGAACTTCGGACCATACTGAATTAGCACAAAATAAAGTATATAAGTGTTTATGTATCTTTAAAGGAAGAAAGTCTAGATTCCCCAAGGGAGGCAACAGTTGACACACTCACAAATTAAAACTCAACAACCACTGATCTACAGAAAACTCCTGTAAATTTTAAGAGGAATATCCATTTTAGTTCAATTCTTGGGGCTGTAAATCTCTCTAAATGGTTCCATCTTCCTGGGGCAGTGAGCACAATGAAGCGAAGGGGCTGGGATATCTCATAATGCGATAGAGGGCTTCGGAGTCATAGTTCTGAAAATGGACTCTCATGCTTGCCTGGGGATGAATAGTTGTAAGAGTTTGCATGGAACGTAGACTGAACCAAAGACATGCTCAATATGTTTTATTATATCACAACTTTTTTACTTTATTCCTACTTATTTCCCTTTCCTACATGAAGATTTCTGAAAGTTTAAAATTAAACAATTAAAAAATTTACTTGGATTGATTTTGTGGACTTACTATAACCTATCTGTATTATACCTAGGGCTGCTGTAAAGAATATTCAAAACTTGATGCTTGGAATAATACAAAGTGTTCTTGCAGGGCTGAAGACCATAAGGTCAAAATAGAAGTGCCAGCTGGGCCATTGTCCCCTCAGAGATTCTATGAGAAAATCCTTCTTATTCTTAGGGACATCATAAAGACCAGGGCTGACTGTGTTGTAGAAGAGCTACCTGTGCCAAGATCTGGAAGCTGGGGTGTCTTCCCA